GAAAAGGTCCGGACCAACGCTGGAAACGAACTCTGGTTCGTTTAAAGAGGAGCAAATTATCAGGTCTGAATACGACCTTATTGGTGTTTGGTCCTGTTGACGCGGTAAAAAAATATAAAGTGGAAAGAAACGGGAGGCATGTTCAATCAGATTTGGAAAATTTCATTCATGAACAGTAGAGGGCGCCAGGCTCATACGAAATAATGAAACGACACATCAGTGATAAATATAAAAGTCAAAATCCTTAMAGAATAAAAAGGACAGAAGTGGCTCAAAGATTAAAAAACTTTCTCACATATGCAGCCTGAGGGTCCAAAGCCATAAGTTCCTGGTGCACACTGATCACAGCGTCGACCAATCACGTTGGGCCTGCAGCGACACTGACCTCCACGGATGTCACAAATGGAGCTGATGGAGCCCTGAGGGTCACAGTTACAGGCTGGGAGAAAACGTGAAACAAAGGCATCAAATCACTAAAAACCAAATACTAACTGATTAAGAAGACGCTAACTGCAGCTCAGAGCTAAACAYGTTTATATAAAATAGCTGGTGTAGATGTGTAATTAGACTAGAAAAGTCATCTCCTTAAAGCACAATATAAGTGTGCTTATCATCACCTTTTAATAATTTATCTCACTGGCCATTTAGAAGCACTTAATTTGCACAATAATTCAAAATCTCAGAGTATTTGTTCTGGAACAAAGCCTAAAGAGATAAATCCCTGATATATAAAATTGAAATGGATAAATATGGCACGCACACTGTTTCAAGAACTTAAGCTAATGCTAACGCTGCATCTTCATCAGAACAATTTAGTCTGTTTTTAAGTGCTCTGYATCATTTTACTTAAGTGTATTTTCCTTTTGCACGCTGAAATAATTGCAATTACTAAAATCTAAATGATAAAAATATAAGTTAAAAACATTTTAACAGCTCTTCTCACTCACACAGAGCCCCGTCGTTTATAACAGCCGACATGCTGCTGATTAGCTTGGCGCAGGTGTCACTCATCTGTGGGCGGATCACACTCTTTGCCCCCTCGTGGCACCGGTACCGCTCAAAGGTCTGCTTCCTGATGTTAGAGGCGGTATCCCCTGCGCTGAACATCTCCATGGAGGAGTGGCGTGGCATCAGTGCCAGCTTGAAGAGAGACGTTTGGTTAAAAAAAATAGATATGAGTGTGAACTGACTGGAGTCAATTGAAAAGCTAAACACTTGGTCTCACAGAGTCGATGAGGATGAGAGCCTGGGCTCCTCCGTTCAGGATGTTGTTGGCGTCTTGATAGCGCGTGAACTGGAAGCGGAGCGTGTACGTCACGCCTCTTTCCAAACACACGGAGTGAGGCGGCACCACAAACCTGCAGACAGCACATTTCCACCAGCACTGAGACGGATACTCGCAGGGTCGTGTTGTTGTGTGTTTGAAGGAGTCGCAGACCTGGCTCCGGCTGGCAGAGAAACGAAGAGTCGGTCATCGTCTGGGATGGTGTTTCCACAGGGGCTGCTGGTGGGAATCGGCCCCGGACGGATCACCGTGAGTTGCATTTCCTCCCAGTCCCGGGGCATCTGCAGACAGAATCAGAGGGAGTGGTCAGCACGACAGCAGTGACGAAGAAAACTCCTCTAAATCATTTCCAGACGATCATACTGAAGCAATGAAAGGCTTGTATGTTGAACTGGTGGAAATAAACACTTTTGAAGACATTTCCAGTTTTTGCCCTGCTATTTCTTTAACATAGTTTACATTAATAGTTCTAATGATCTCCCTAAACACCATTACACTCAATTGGAATATCAAATAAATCAGATATATATTTATATATTAGGGCTGGGCAGTATGACCTCAGATTCACATCACGGTATAAATTGAATCCCTTCACAGTAACGTATATATTGCAGTAGAAAATGATCATAAAAAGCAAAGATAATGTAATTTTTAGAGCATTTATTTAGCAGAAAACTGTAATCATAATCAAACCCAGTGTTTTTGCTGTAGTGCAAATGAACATAAGTACAAAAGAAGGTTTTATATACTGTATATTGCAAAACGGTTTCAACAACAAAACAAAAACATTTCTCAAAGTTTCAACAATATCACAATAAAGTGGATGTTATAACCAGTACTTCAAGTAAAATTAGTCATTTAGACAAAAAAAATTTAAGTTGGCATGACCGGACTTTAATGGGCTTAAGCTGCACATAGTCCTAGTTATAAAACTATTTCATATAACTGAAATGTAAGTGTGGTGAAGCCAAATAAATGTAATATTGGCCTGCCATATATRAGCTTCTGCCTGMTGAACTTATCAGCTGCTGCTCTGCTGYGCTCAGAGCAGAACTGTTACATTAGCAAGATGGATCTACRACTGAACAAACGTCCACGTCTTTTTTTTATCATCTCTGTGTGTAACAATACATAAAAAAACACGTTTTTTTTTTCTGACAACTTGGGCGTGAAAAAACTACGGTTGTAAAAGCTTCACTCTGCGTGACGTGTAGCGGGAGGAAGAGAGGAAATGATCCCGCATTCTGCGACACGACGTAACTTTTCTACAGTGGGAGGGGGAAATTTTGAGGGTTTATTCTCTCTATACGTGTTTTAAAACACTATATTTTTTTCATTTATTTTCAGAATATTTCGAACTCCTCCTGCTCAGTTGTCTCTGCACTTGCAGCCATGTTGACACAGGTGCGATGACAACAGGACGGCAGAGGGTAAATGTCTACCGTAGGCCAACTTCATATTGTTTCTACCATCTATCGCACATACCGCACAGCCCTAATATATATATATATATAC